TCTATTAGCGTGTACTAATATATATTTGTGTGTACTAATATTCATTAGTTTGTACTAATATCTGTAGGTGGGCTGGGCACCTTTATTTTGGTAAGTTCCATATTTGTACCCATATCTAGTGGCGCGTTCATGAGTATTAGTGTGTGCTATCACTTCAGACTTCCATTTAGTAAGTCACAACCAACAGTGGTATATCGTCCATCTGTTCGTGGACGTATACCTGGTAGTGTGTGCTACTGTGTATTAGTGTGTGATGATACTCGTTGCCATCAGTGTGCGTTGCTGGTGGTGTGCCCATGAGTGAGTGATTGTATCTGCCAGTGTATAGTGCATTGCACTGTGTTGTGTGTTGCCCTTGTCTTACCTCTTGCCAATGTGTAGTGCTCTATTCCTCTCTGCTGCACCCAGTCACTCTACTTCAGATCGCACAGTACTGATTACTCCCACCAGTGCACATATATATATATATGTGTGTGTGTGGTGTGTGTGTGTGTGTATGTATATATATATCATGGGCTATGTAAGAGTACAATCCAGGATCAGTACGTAGACCCTATGCAGGCTGGAACGGAGTGTCTAGGGATTACGGAACCCCAAGAATCATTTGTGAATTCACGCAGGCGCATGTGAGTGTCCCCATGCGACAATGACCACGTCTGTTCAAGCTCTGCGCATGATACATCCGTATATTATATGTATGTGACTAGGTAGACGATCTATGTTCATAACTAATTAGATGATCTGCGTACAATACTAATTAGATGATCTATGTACATGACTAATTAGATTATCTGTGTGCATGACTACTTTATATGATATAAGTATGTGACTAGGTAGATGATCTATGTAAATGCCTAATTAGATGATCTGTGTGCATGACTAATTTATATGATATAAGTATGTGACTAGGTAGATGATCTATGTAAATGCCTAATTAGATGATCTGTGTGCATGACTACTTTATATGATATAAGTATGTGACTAGGTAGATGATCTATGTAAATGACTAATTAGATGATCTGTGTACATGACTCATCCAGATGCCGAGAGGAAAAATGTGGGCTACAACGTGTCGTCGTTTGCAGAGCACATTGCGCGTAAGCTGGGCTCTAGTTTCCCAGGGCCAACCATTGCCTTCAACTGCCGCCAGTTCAGTCGCATCTACCCCAGGTAAAAAGAAGCATCCTATGCTGGCCGCGATGGACGTCTGTAGGGTGTATCTACGTATGTCTCTTGCTACATGCTAACGGCAACACCTATTGTGTATAGCTATTGGTGTGTAGGGTGTATCTACGCATGTGTCTTACTACATGCTCTGTATGTATGTATGTGCATGGCATCACCTATTGTGTATAGCTATTGGTGTGTAGGGTGTATTTACCCATGTCCCTTACCACATGCTATGTATGTATGTGCATGATTGGTGTGTAGGGTGTATGCTGTGTGGAGGATGAACATGTGTTTCAATGAGAGTACGGACTGTAAGTTTGTTGATGGAGCGGGTGTCGTTTTCGTCACTGTGGGCGTGTGCTTGTGTGTGGACATTCATAGGCTTGCTTCATATGCGTGTGCATATGCGCACAAGCGATGTGTAAATAGCATTGTGTATTAGGGCTTAGGGTTTATAAACCCTGTGGTTGGGATTGTCCTCCTTGTCTCTGACAACACCTCTGCAACATACAGTGTGTTTGCTTAATACGTATACACCCACATGCTGCTTCGGCTCTCATGTATATGATTCAGCACGTACGCAGAATACCGCACACCCTAAAACCCAAATCCCATGCAAGCGCGCCGTTGTGTGCACAGTACAAGCTAAGTCCCAGCACATCCTCAAAACAGTCTCTCACTTGGCTTGAAACTCTGCGAGGTCTTATGTGCGTGTGGCTGTATAATCTTGTATCTGTCACTGCATTCATGCCATACACACTATACTGGCATGATTTCTCTAGGGATTTCACAAACACCAACCGATTGTACTCTGACAGCGTATATATATATATATATATATTGTGATATATATATATATAAATATATATATTGTGATATATTTATATATATTTTTATATTGTGATATATACATATTTATATATTTATATATATGTATATATTTTTATAAATATGAACCACTGCTTCTCCGTTCGTCTATAAAAAAACTTTATTGAATTGACTGTTTCTCCTTGCTGCGATGCTCAGAGGTCGGCGTGTGGACTCGTCCAATTACGATCCCATGACATTGTGGCTCTACGGCTGCCAATTGGTGGCACTCAACTACCAGACGCCCGGCAGACACATGCTCACCAACAGAGGCCTCTTCAGGATAAATCACAACACCGGGTACGCCCCTGGATACTAAATCTATACACAAACACACCTATATATATCTAATATCTATATATATGTATATATATGTTTATATATATATATATATGTACATATATATATCTATATATATATATCTATTTATCTATTTATTTATATATGTGTGTGTGTGCGCGTGCGTGCGTGCGTGTGTGTGTGTGCGCGCGCGCGTGCGTGCGTGTGTGTGTGTGCGCGCGCGCGTGCGTGCGTGTGTGTGCGCGCGTGCGTGTGTGCGTGCGTGTGTCTGTCTGTGTTTGTGTCTGTTTCTGTTTCTGTGTGCCTAAATGCTTATATGTTTATATGCTTATATATATGGTGAACATGTGTATCAAGTGCTGTGCTACTTGGTATTGAGTCAATGTGTATGCTCTTTCTGTCAGCTCAGTTTGTTAGTGTGTGCTAGTGCTTTAGTACGTGTGTGCATTCAGTTGTTTGTAGGCTTTGTAGCCGCAGAGCATAACTGTATCTGCTACACAGGCGACCTCAGATTCTCGATGCACTGTTGTTCGTTTATACGTTCACGTGGTAATGTACACCTGACATGCGAATCGCTGGCACGTGACAGGAGATGGCTAGACCACCTCATTGGCCGCCTAATTGTATAGAATTCGCGGCAGCTGTATAACACCACCGACTTCACTTCGTTTAAACCCCTAGCAACTCACGAACCCTACAAAACCCTACACCCTATAACCTTAGACTCCGAGACTTGTGACTCGTGAAATAACACCACCATCACTGGTTTGCAGTGTGTGCGGAGTTGTGCTACGATTTTGGGTTACTGACGCCAGACAGCCAATTACCCCCTGAGCCGCACAAACATCCACAAACCCAAGAGTTAAACCCTAAAACACCCACTAACCCAACAGTTATGTTCTTCCCACAAACACCCACAAACTTCAAATTAATTTCTGGCATCATTCTGGCCCAGGCACCTTCATGCCTTATCCCTGTGCACACCCTAACCTCTATGCTTGCTTTGGTTGGTTGGTTGGTTGCTGTACACAGATATGTGCTAAAGCCCCCGTCCATGCTGACGCCTGGCAGTCAGTTTGACCCAGACGACTACACCACATTTGGCCACGACCGCTACGGCGGCATCAAACCTGTCAAGATCACCATCGAGGTAGGTAGCACTTGTCATATCCATGTTCAGCCTGCAAGGTCGTTAAACGCTTTCGGGCGGTTAAGTTGCACACGGCTAGGGACGTGCGCACCACTGTGGGGTGTACACACAGACAGTGGCTGCTAAGTGTATGTCCGTTTATTATGTGGAGAGTGACCATGGGAGTTTGCATCGGAGATGGGAAGTAGTTGTGTCACTGAACGAGTGAGTTCTGTGCTGTGTGAAGTGCGTCATGCAGCACGGTGAGGTGGATACGCTTTTAGTCCTTTAATAGTAATAGTTAAACCAGATGCCGAGGTAATCATCTTAGCCACTGTACATGTTGAAGCCGCGATGTATTGGTATTCATCCACTCAAGATGCTCGTGGTCTGCTCTTCCGCACCCCAACAGATTCTGGCGGGAAAGCACCTCAACACACTCAAGGGAACGCCCACGCCGTTTGTGGAGATCGACGTAGTAGGTACTGACATTGACTCAGAGCAGAAGTACCGAACATCTGGCAAGACATCTGCGGGTGTACAGAGCAATGGTCTATGCCCGCACTGGGAGATGGAGGTCTTCCAAATGACGGTGAGTACTACACAGTTATACGTTACTTGCACACATTACAGCTATACATTACACTTGCACACATTACAGCTATACATTACACTTGCACACACCACAGCTATACACCTGCACACACTACAGCTATACATTACACTTGCACCACAGCTATACATTACACCTGCACACACTACAGCTATACATTACACCTGCACACACCACAGTCATATCATACTTTGTTTAGCGGAAGAGTGGGTGAGTGGTAGGCGGCTATTCGTGCGCGTGTTGTGGTGGACCTCTTTGGTTGCTAGGGTTGTGGTGTTCCTCTTTGGTTGCTAGGATTGTGGTGGTCCTGTTTGGTTGCTAGGGTTGTGGTGGTCCTCTTTGGATGCTAGGATTGTGGTGGTCTTGTTTGGTTGCTAGGAATGTGCTGATCCTGTTTGGTTGCTAGGGTTGTGGTGGTCCTGTTTGGTTGCTAGGGTTGTGGTGGTCCTGTTTGGTTGCTAGGGTTGTGGTGGTCCTCTTTGGATGCTAGGATTGTGGTGGTCCTGATTGGTTGCTAGGGTTGTGGTGGTCCTGTTTGGTTGCTAGGGTTGTGGTGGTCCTGTTTGGTTGCTAGGGTGCATGACTGGTCTATCCGACAACTGTTGCTATGACTGTGTGCATTCACGCGTTGATACTCGCACGAGTGCTCGTACAAATAAAAGTTGGTTCTTGGCGTAGATGGATTGGGAGTGTCTGTGTTTGCCCCTTTGTGCACTCTGCTTAGTTTGTTGTATTCCTAAAGTCTGATTTTCTGCGCTTGAGTTTAAACCACTGCATTTTAGGACTTCTTTGGCAGAGGTTAATATTTAAGGTTCAACGTTTAACGTCCAGGTACTTGTGGTCCAGGTAGCAGAGTTCATAGTATTATGCTTTGGTCCATTGCGTGCGTGACTGGACACACAGTACTTGGATGCGAAGCTGTCTGCATGTGAATATGCAGTGACATTTGTTACTATTAGAAGGGCGACTATCATGCTTGCATACATAGTCATATCACTTGTATGTGCACATCTGTATATGTTAAGTGCTACGCGTTTTGTTGATATAGCTACATACAACCCCTTGCAGCATCTCAGCCCTGCCAAGAGGTTAGTATATAACTATCTACCCCCTAGTACATAACTATCTACCCCCTAGTACATAGCTATCTACCCCCTAGGCGCATACCATATTCGTACGCTCACGCGCTTGTTTGTGCAAGGGCACATACTCACACTGCACTCGTCAACCAGCCTCAAACGTACACAACACCAAACCCTAAACCCTAAACCCTCAAACATACACAACACACCCATTGTATCGCCCGTACACATACTATCCGCTGGTCTTACATTGATCCCATGCACACAGCTTCCCCTGTGCTAGTACTATGCTCTGCATCTTACAGTACTCCTACCCACATATCACAGTACTGCTATCCACGTGCTGTTTCTGTATGCAGATATCATACCCTGTATTGTAAACCCTAAACCCCACTGATTTGCCTGTGCAGCTGCCATACGCTTCTCTCCCACTGACTCTCACGCACACACACACCCCTCTCTCGGCTTCTCCTCTCCTCTGCAGATTCTGTACCCTGACCTTGCACTGATCCGCCTGAGTGTGATGGACGAGGGTGTGTTTGGTGAGCCTCAAGCGTTTGCGCATGCGTGTGTGCCTGTGCGTTGTTTGAGAGCGGGGCTGCGTAGCATTCCTCTGGTCAATGGCCTGGGTGAGCCTCTGGAGATGTCGGCCTTACTCGTCAGATGTGAGCTCGAACCCCATCAACTGGTCCTGGAGGAGAAGGTAGGTGTATTGGTGCAGTTGTAGTTGTAGTATGTGTATTGGAGTAGTTGTGATTGTAG